CTCACCTCATCTGTGAGCCAGTTGTCTAGAATATGTTGGAGCCTCAACATCTCACAGCCCTATGGGCCTTCACGGCCTGCTACAGGGATACTTTACATATCTCGTTTTTCCATCTTTTAGATCCTGTTAAATGTGTCGCGTGGTAGCAAGCCTCGACATCCCTTTTCGCGACTTCTTGGTGGAACTCCAAGTATTATCGTCAGCTTGCTGCAGTCGTCTTGATACTCGAAGGATGAAACATGGCATGAAGCAACCGAATTGTGTTGCGTGGACGAGGGCCTCTGTGGCATTAGCTGTGGTGTTCCTGAGTAGCGCAGCAGTTTGAAATCTGGGGGGGGGGCTGATGTTGGTGAGTTATGGTCCAGTGTTTTCGCTTTCTATTATAGTAACACATGTTTTGATGAATGCGCACCAGCACAAACTGCAGACACACACAAGTTGCCCGTCATAACTTTATAAGCCACAAACACCGTGCCTTCTGTTTTTTTTAATATTAATTCCAACTGAAGATGTCGCTTCGTTCGGGCTTGTGCAGTAAAAATTATTGTTTTTGTCAAATTTTAATAATTAGCTTTCTACTGTTAATTTTAAAGCAATTTTAAATATATTTATGAGACGGAGAATTAATTGATGTTGGAATAGCTCCGACCTCAGATAAAGTTCTGGGGGAAGGTTTTTTCTTTTGCTATCCTTCAACTTAAAAATTTAGAGTGTTCCTAAGAGCAGTTTTGGGCGCTGAGTAGCAGTTCTTATGTCATGCGTCTTATATCGGTTTTTAATTTCACCATACGAAATACCGTGATCGTGGACATTGAAAAAAGTAAATATTAGTTTTAAACCAGTGTTTGCATGGGCTTTTGAAATACCATGAGACTGGATACATTCTTCTAGGCGCTCCTTCGCTTTGTCAGCATATTTAAATTATCGGTCAATGCATTTTAATCTGTTATCCCAGTGAAAGCCTCGGTATACAGCAATGAATACCGTAATCAGACTAGTCGCCCTCAGCGCCTCTCAACTGCAGCTTTTATATTATAATTAACTTCGCTATCTCTCATTCCTCCCCCCAGCCGAGTTTTCTAAAGAAGCAGAAACGCGTTACGCGTGGATGAAAAATAATTACATGTATAGAACCTGCTAATGTTAACTAATACCATGGAACAGTCCTTTTGGAGAAACTGATAGTCACCTACTTGGTCAGAAAACTCCCAGTCTTTCATGGAACCGAATATTTGTTTGCCGTATACCCACCACAAGACTCTTCCCTGAGGTAGGTGATACCCGCTCACACCACTACACCACTTTTCTTTAAGATCCATTACAATGTTACTTTTACCATGTCCTCCAGTTGGTCTCTTTTCTTCAGGTGTTCTGACCAATATTTTGTATGTATTTCCTATCCCATTCTTGCTAAATTCCGAACCCATATTTACCCTTTGATTCCGTCACCCTAATAGTATCTGCTAAAGAGTACAAACGGTAAAATTCCTTACATAGTTTTCTCCAAGCCCCAAGAATTAGGTACTTTCGCCTAAGAGAAATGGTTAGTCACATTCATTCAAGATTGTGGTCTGCAGTCGCATCACACTCGGCAAAGTATAGGCAGTCATTAGTAGCGACACTCAGACCTTACAGAATGCGGGGGGCGGGGAGTAGCAAGGACCATTTGGCCCATGATCCTGGCTGAGGAGGGCCCCAAATATAGTCTTATTTAATTTAAATAATATGACAAACAAGAATACGGGAATTCATTTTAATTTAACTGCTGACTTATAATTCTTAGCCTTTCATACATATTCGTGTTGCGTTGTTCAGATAATTTCAAATTTTAAAGAAATCTGCTTTGTCGTCCGTCAGTTGCATTGTGCATCTCGAGTTGATTAATCAGGAATACATTTTTATGATGTTGAAGTATTTTTATCGAATTTTTAGTATTATGTGGATGGGGGGGTGATATTGGTGGGAAAGCCAGATGGAAAGAGACCACTGGGAGGACCAAGGCGTAAGTGGGTGGACAATATTTAAACGGATCTTAGAGAGATAGGATGGAAATACATGGATAGGATTGATCTGGCTTAGGGACCAGTGGAGGGCTCTTGTGAACACGGTAATGAATCTTCGGATTGCATAAAATGCTGGGAAGTTCTTGAGTAGCTGCACAATTGGCGACTTCTCAAGAAGGGCTCAGCTCCATGAGTGAGTGAGTGTAGATGGTGGTCCCACATTAGTGATTGACCCGGGCAATGTCTCACCTCTCTCAGAGTTTGGCGACACTCTGAAAAACAGTGCCTCTCTTCAACTGTAGAAGGGAATTTCCGAGAATATCTAATAGGCTGATTGGACTAAAATGACTACCCACACTCTGACCTGGAGGTTATTGCATGTAGTCCATTACTTAGAACTCTCTGCCTCTAGCATAACTTAAACGTTACGATTACTGAAAGTGCTCAAAATAACTGTTTATGTCGATTTTGAAATAATATCGTCAAAATGCTCGTATTATCGGTTTAAGACCGACGCAATTTAAGGATGTACATATGGAGTATTTACTCCCAGGATTGTTGCTGTATAAAGAAAATATCTCATGAACCTTCTCATGATATGACTTATCGTTATATCTTTTGATATCTTAAGAATACATCGCAGTTACATTTACATTGAATAAAGCTAATGTGTCTGAAGAAAACGGATACAGCGGGGTAATAAGACATTTAAAAGATCTGCAGCCTGTCCGAATCTCAGTTTATTATACACGTGCGCAGAACATGTGTTCGCTGCAGGTGCGTCACCTCAAGTATCTTTATGTCTTGATAGAACATTCAGCTGTTCGTATTAAATACTGCAGTAGTCACGGTCCGAGTTTCAGCACTTAATACACCAAAGAGAAATGTCTTCCATACATTGATGGGCTGAGTTAATTTATTATTTTTTTATATCATGAATAAAAATGTTTCTAAAACGTGGATATTTTTCCGGTAGCCATCAGTTATTGCAGTGATTTGTTTATAATCTTGAAGCGAGAGGTCCATAAATGAACACATTTTAAAAAATATTTTTAGAAATGTTGCGCAGAATTCCTCAGAAGCTATAGGCCTACGTGCTTTTTTCATCTTTTATATATATTACTTGCTCCACAGCATGGAAATTCGGAAAAGGTTGTTAACCCCCTGTATTGTGTTAACTAATATTTGCGTTAAAAATTAATTTCCGAGTTACAAATGTAGATTTTTAAAGCCTGTACAAGTATGAACGTGTAATTATAACTGTTTGACTCGTGTACAGTTTCTTACATGAAACTGTTCATATGATCCAGATGAATATGAATATACTCCAGAGCCGGAAAACATCAACCCTAGTAATGAAATTGTAGTGTTTTAAGTCACCTACTTGTACGAGTATCCTTAATAATTTTGTAACTTCAGTAGCAGACTAGTTAAAATGTATTTGTATATGATTTCCCTCCGTGGGAACACGTGTAGAGTTAGCTGAAGTAGATTAGATAGTCTATATGTTCCGGATGTGCTGTTCAGCAGTTCTCAAGCGCTTCTGATTGCCATTACATTTGTCACCATGAGGACAGTCTGTCTCACTCTTCGCAGAGAAATCTTTATACCCCTCTCGAACATTCACGCATCGACTTGCTTGTTTTTAAAACGCATATGCATCGACCAAATTCCTATAGCACTTCGCCTGTCTCCCTACTGCCAGATGGTGGCATATGTATCATGTTTAATGAAATTTTAGTATTTAAGAGGGAATACTGTTAAGTTTATTTGCTTACAATAAAATGTAAACCACATTACTTTATTAATTATCGAGACATATTTGTATTTGTAATTTAGCAGATTAGCTGAGGGCCACTCAATAGACTTATATTCGGGAAGTGCTCGGATTGGATTTTGGCCAGGGCCCGAGTAATTAGAACTAAGGATTTTCTTGGTGTTTTTATGTGGATTCCGACATATTGCCTTGAAGTAGGCCACGGCTGCTTCCTCCCGTTCCTTTACTTTTCACATTAACCTATATAATCATTCATTAATCTGATTCATAACCGAATAACCTATGCAACTAGAACAGCGACATTAAATCCGGTGATTCGTTTTTGATAGTTTGATTCGCCACTCTGCCAGTAAGGTCAACGTATTTTTAACATATACGTGCCAGAGGAGGTACCAAATATTAACCGGGTAACGTGCAAAGTAAGGGTTGCTAGTTAGTTTTGATAGTATATATTGCTTTCCCCGATTGCACAGTGAATGCCAACTGGAGGCAATTCACAGTTTATGAGTATTCTGCTAAATGTTGTTCTCTTTAAGAAGTTTCCAGTTTTCTGTGAGTAAATTATTAGTGTGACTTTTTAATTTTTGAGGATATCTAGATATTTATGGGTTCTCTCAGATTCTCTTAATGTCCTGAATTAAAAAGAATACTATCCAGAACATTTATTTTTAAATCCTAATTCAGGCGCTTTTATTTTCCATTCGGTAATAAAGTAATGTAGTTAATTTTACGTCTGGTTTTGACGAATTCCTAGAGAAAATTTTACAGAATGTGTCTGTTAACATCGCCATGGCTTTCTATGTCTCCACAAATAACAACTTGAGAAACATGGAACGAATTTTCATGAAATTTAATATCGAGAGTTTTACTGAAATTTCTCAGCATAGTCCAAACTTGGTTAAAGTCTGTCAAGAATAATGAACGCTTTCCATGAAGGCTTACAAGTGTTTCTGCATGTAACTTGCTGAACTTTTATCGAAGCGAAACTTTTTTCGAACAACAGTTACAGGGGGAAAAAATAAACACATTTTTATGTCCAGTACCCTTTTCCAATGTCTTATGTGTTTCGAAATGATGAAAATCAAGTGAACAAATACCCCGCAACTGTTACATTATGCAACATTTCATCATTTCTTTTATTTAAACCTGTTCTGGGGTTTGTATTTTTCAACAGCGAATTACCTCGAAAAATGAATAAACAGGAAGCTTTTGTCACTTACCGTCATGTTGATTTGCAGTTTGCGTTTGCGCAGAAATGAAGTTGTGTACGCCGGGCAGACAAATTCACAGTTGAGTAGAGACTGGTGAATTTCAGTCTGTTTTTCTCCGTAGAAGTATCACTAGACCGGTAGGCCTATACGTGTCTTATTTAAAAGTAATGTACACCGACGTTTTGCTTCAGAAAGAGTTCAGTGAATACACGATCTATTCTCACTTCAGTAAACGTAAGCTGCACTTTACTGATATATCACAGTCCACTTGGCTATGAGATATAAACCCAAAAGATCACGTGTAGGTTCGAATGATGCTAGCAGCGTGTTGTTCCTATTGCCATGTGTCTTCTCTGACACCCGGATTCATATTGGAGGCTAGACTTTAAACACACCATAGTTTACTCATCGACTCAACCAATGAGCGCTATAGACGTCAGAGATTACGTCACCAAGTCTTCATCCCGCGAAGTAGCCGAGCCGCGAAGCATAAAGTGAAAGACGCGGTGATTTTTTTGTAAATCCAAAAGAAGGGGCTTCCTAGCTGTCTACTTTTAATTACTTCAGTAGTATGATCTACCTAGTTTGTCAAAGGGCTGTTTTATGCTGATTGTGGAGTTACAAAACTTAAACGTCCACTGGTTGCAGTTCATGTTAGTTTTTACTCTTCTGTTTCATTATATTTTTATATTCTTTATCCCCGCCCACAGTTTTAGATTTTATATAAGAATATTGCAGTATTTCTTTTCTAAAGAGATGAAGTGAACACTGATTTCTTGAACTTAAGTGATAAATTTTATCATAATGCTGTATCTGTATTTCCCATGTAAGGAAATTAACATTGTAAGATGCATAAGTTAATACAGTAAATAGATCAAAATATTTAAATGTATATCTCAAAATACAAAGTAAAATGTGATATTGGCTGGTAAAATGTCATTTATTTCTGACATTCCAACGTGCACAAGACATCCTCATGCCCTCTATGGCTTCCACGAAAGCTACCTAATTTTTCCATTCGGACTTCAGTCTCATTTCATATCCGCTAGCTGGCCACTATTGGTATATGAATCCATTCCACGCTGTAACATTGTACCTTTTTTTTTTTGGGTGGGGGGGGGTTCTCGTAACGGAAGTTGCAGTAAAATTATACATCTGCTGCTATTAAGATTTAATTATAATTATAGATTCTGGGACGAAATCACAAAGACATGAACGCTAGAACGACCTAGAACGACCTTGATGGCAGATGCATCTCAATATGTATCCCCAAATCTCCTATCCATACTGTTCTTCTGTTTTCTGTCATGTCCGCTTCAGGCGAGTGAAGGATCCCGATAGAGCCATTAACATTTTCCATCTCTACGTTACGGAATTTCAAAATCGAACNGGCTTGCTTTTTATGGGGCATGATCAAGTGTCGAAATGTTAACTTAAATTATATTTAAGGGGAAATACAGTTTTATAACTTCTGCGGATGCTGGTAAATGCGATGTAGGCATAACCGTTTTTGTAACAAAGATAATAAAAGTAATTAATTAATAATTTATTTGCATTGTTTTAATAATACACGCTACCAACCGACCCCATAATTCATTTCAGTTGTAGCCTTGCATGCACTCATGCACTCTTCGGAATTCATGTCTCTATTTTACTTCGTCCGCGGTAAAGATTTCCCCGTGCTTAATTAAACACCCCGCCATCAAGACATTTAGTGGAGTGGAGGTATAGCTGCACATCTTCTTAACTTCGGCACAAGATTTAGGTGAGTGGTCAACTTCACGCTCCGGCCGCTCTAGTTCCGGGAAAATATCCCCTTATACTGACTGGATAGGAAACCGGGTGGGCCCTGGAGGCAATGTGAACACTGTGAGAAAGAAAAGCCTCTTCCCCTACTGGGAGTCGAACGCAATTCTCCCATAGTCCAGCGTCTACCCTAGTTACTATACATGTTGAGCTATCCCGGCTGTGTTGTGGCGATTTCCTACTCATAATTTTTATGGATTTTATTTTTTGTGCGCTTTGTTTTAATTATCTTAACTTACGAATATGTTAGTGAAAACGTTCAACAGTTTCAAGTCCGCTTGTCTGAAAATAAATTTCCGTCATGAACGTATGGTCTAGATTTAGCAATTGACGCAAATTAGTTATAATTCAAGCTTTCTTCCCATTACTACGTACATTACTAACGTGTATAATTACTGCCCTTTTATAGTAGAACTTTTATATACAGATACACTATAGAATCAAATGCAAGAACGCATTATCTTGTATTTTACCACGTAGTTCTTCTATTTCGTCAGTTTTGGGGTTCACAAATGTAAAGGAATATAAAAAAAGTTTAAAATTTTATAGTATGTCTCGCAACATAGACTGAGGGTGTTTGGGAACAGGGTGTTGAGGAGAACATCTGGACCGAAGAGAGATGAAGTGATGAGAGGTTGGAGAAAACTGCATAATGAGGAGCTTTATAACTTGTACGCTTGTCCAAGTATAATTAGAATGATCACGTCAAGGAGGATGAGATGAACAGGACATGAAACACGAATGGGGAGAAGAGAAATGCATATAGGATATTGGTGGGAAAGCCAGAAGGAAGGGGACCACTAGGAAGATCAAGGCATAGGTGTGTGGACAATATTAAAATGGATCTCAGAGAGATATGATGGGATGATATGGATTGGATTAATCTGGCACAGGATATGGACCGTTGGAGGGCTCTCGTGAACACGGTAATGAACCTTCGGGTTCCATAAAATGCTGGGAAGTTCTTGAGTAGCTGCACAATTGGTAGCTTCTCAAGAAGGGCTGAGCTCCACAAGTGAGTGAGTATGTCTCGCGACTAATTGCAAAAAACTGACATGTATCGATTTTATATTGATTCAGATTCAGCATACGTTGCACGTGACTGGAGAACGCGGTACCGCAAGATCTGTACATGCACACGCATGTCCATTAATTTGCTTCTCTGTATAAACGCTAGCAAATAGGAAATGAATGGAAGCATGAAATATAAAGCAGTTCTGGGTTTGTGTAATTTCCTTTGTACACTCTCTATAGTTTCTAATTGACACGTACTTCGGAGAAACAGGCCAACGTAAAATATGTGGCAACACATGAATACTACTGAACTCTCACGTGAATTAATTGTATCCTTGAGGTAGTTCCGTACCCCTAGCATTTCAGCGATCTGTATCAATATTATTCAACCACTTATTTGTTCTCGGTTACTGTATGCATTACCCGACATATACAGGTATATGTAGGAAACATAACGTTTAGGGAATTTTTCTATGCTCCCATCTTTGTGTGATTAGTTGTTACACAGATTTTTCCCTCATTATTAATGGCATCATTATCGAATTTGGAACCCTTTTACTAATAAACTGCGCTAACCGCTGTGCCATTAATTTTCATCTGATTACAACCGATAAACTGAAAGCAGGAATATATCAAGTTACATTAAAGTGCTAAATTAATTAAGCTGTGCAGACGTATAAGGGAGTGGAGATATAGCTCCACCATTTTTGACCTGAACACTAGATGGAGGTGAGTGGTAGGCCTTACGTCCCCGCTGCTTTACCCCCGGCGAAACAATCTCCGTACACATTGGAAAGGAGGCTTAGTGGACCTCAGAGCCGGTCTGGACGTTGTGAAGAGAAGGAAGATCTTATCCCTGCCGTCAATCGAACACGGGTTATCCAGTCCGTAGTCCATCGCTATACCGACTCTTGCATCTAATGTGAAGATTGTATTCATTTACATTATTAAGACAAGCAGTTCTAGCTTAATGAATGAATCTGTAGTAACAAATGTTACTGTGTACATAGCGTATTATGATCTATAGGCTATATAATGTTCCTGTTTTATCTCTTGCGGCTACTGTTTAAGGACAAGGTACGAGTATTTCAAAAGAATCCAATATAAATAGATGCAGTATGGCATGGTCTCCGCTTTTAATTAATTTATGAGTAGTTAGAAAGATCAACTTGCAAGTTTCTCCGAGTCTAAGACATTGCAAATGAAGGTCGATGTTCCTACGTGAAACGTGTTTAAAACTGCACGTTTAAAACTAATGTCATTAAATGTGCTCAGTCATGTCAGCTGTGTGATGACTTACTTGGGTTATAATTACGGCAAGACAGTTACGTTTTCCATCAAATTTGATGGTGGAAACGACATATGTAGGTCGTTTATTGTAACTGTATTATGAGTCGCACGACGTACCGTAGTTGGTTGAGACACTATGTTATAAGCCGGAAGGCCGCGGGTTCGATTCCCGATGAGGTCATTGGGTTTTTCCGTTGACCTTATCATTTCAACCGCACTATGGCCCTGGTGTCGACTCAGCTTCTAACAGAAATGAGTGCCAGGAATCTTCCTGGGAGTAAAAGACGGCCGAAGGGTAAGGCTGACTTCACCGCCGTGAGCCGATTGTCTAGAAAATGTGGGAGCTTCGACGTCTCACAACCCCATGGGCCTGCATAGGCTGCTACAGAGATAACTCTACCTTTTTTGTTGTATAACAGTAAATATTATTACTTACTCTAATAACATACAATTATGTCTGTGTACCTCACCTCTGCCATAATGTATTAAACAGTGACAAAATGAACGACCTTACCTTGAATAATGTATGACCTTTGCGCTTATTTCGAAACGAGTATTATGCATTTACATCATGGCGAAATCTAATTATAGTTTTTCTAGTCACAGCAACACTAATCTCATGATGCCCTTCACAGAGAATTGGGTATCGGCACTTCCCTTTCCTTGGATGTCGTTTCCGACCTTGTTTCTTGAACGGAAAGAAGCTTATGCCACGGTAATGTGGGTGACCCTCCGTGCAGAGTATTTCCTCTCATGAATTTTGAATCAGTGTTAAAATATACAAGGAACAAGGTGTTAAATTTACACACCAGTTGTCAGTTAGACATAATTTCTACCTCACTGTTTCTTAAGCTTCCTGGAGTTTAACTTCCGCGCCTCCTATGTACCTACATGGCATAATTATCAGACACACAGAAAACTTTACCTTGCCGATCCCTGTCTGCTTGGAAGATGCGCATGGAAGCGAATGTTACGATCTGTTTCTTAGTAATAAAAGTAACATGCCCATTTTATGAAGTACAGATTTGTTCTCTTTCATCTTATGAAAGTGTCCCGTTATTCGTTTTATACTTGTGTGTGTGTGTGTTCATGTGTGTGATACTGCTCTACGGATGAAGCATTAATCCCATAAAACTCTTAAGCGTTTTGTGGCAATCAGTGGCAGTTAGTCCGTATGTGTAAAGAAATCGAGGAGTCTCTGAGAACAAATGTGTAATTTATCAGGGGTAATTGAGTGAAACAGTCACAAAAATTTACAACAGA